GAAAATTCATGTTAATATAGAATTTCTGGTTTTATAGTAGATGTATGTTTAAGGAGAACCCAACGTATAGTAATCCAATTTTTCACAGTGCTTCTCAAATAATTTATGTTTTAACACGGTCATAACACACATATCTGATAATTTCTGTCACAGATTAGTCACTGAAGCTTAATTCTATTACTTTCGTTATTAAAAATATTGCAATGGTAGACCATTTCTTGGTGATGATGGCTTTACAAAATTATCAGTACCTCACCTACCAATTAATTTTCGCCAGAATACCACGTCACTGAAAACATTTTAATATATCTGCAAACTCCAATTTACGTTAATTAAAGCCAACTCTGCATCAAAAGGTTTTTGATCTCGCGATATAGATACTTATTATTATCGATTCAGAGTACAGAAAAGTATAGCTGCGACCGCCGGCGCGGCGGCATGGTACAGAGTGTTTTTTCGCTCATGTTCATGTGGGAAGTCTTACAATAACATTCAAAGTAGTTAACATCGGACACTCTTGAACGGCGTAAATTTCACATAATCAACAGAAAGGTGCAAATTTGTTCATCCGTAGAACGAAATAACTGAACATCAACTGTCAGCTTCAGGACATTTTTTGTTTATCTTACGCTGATGTAAAAACTGTTCAGGCTATAAGAAGTTGTGTGGTAAAAAGAAAAGTTTCCAAAAGAATATGTTAATAATAATAATACTGGAAATTCAACCTATTTTTCTATACCTACTCATGTCTAATGAATAATAATTATAATTTGATTTTTATATCATTATAGTTTTATTTGCAACAGCAACAAGAAGAAAATATATGTAGTTTGAATTAAACAGATTATTAAAAAAAAAGATCAATCAAAAACTACATCTAAATAAGACAATTAATACATAAAAGAACAAAACATGGTAAAATAAATAGGTATATGTTATTTATCAATGTCTATATCTATAAGTTATTATCATTGTAAATAAATGTAATATATTTTATATAAAGAATATTAAATGCAAAGACGAATACGCAGCCTACACACTGTATCGTTTATGAAGCTAGTAAAAACCAATAAATTTTCCAGAGGGTGTCCAGAGCGTGAACGGAAATGGGATACTTATAAATGGGGTTAAATCAGCTGAATACCGTGCTAAGGGGTTCATGTACGGTATTTACTAAAGCTACCCTTGGCGATAAATGCTTAATAACCTTGTTACTCTGTGAAAATGAAGTCTCATAACCAAGCTTAATTAAACTCATGAATTTAAGAGTTCCTGTGTAATTTAGATAATTATATTGCACATGCATGTAATTATTTGAAAATTGTGAACTTACTTAATAATCTACAACCACAAAAAGCATATTTCAAATTAGAATTGCAAAATTATGTCGACTGTTTGGTCTGCAGACACAGAACATTACAAGTATAAATATTGATTGATTATGGAGTATGCATGGTTTAAGTAGTCGAGTACTCAAGTTATAATAGGGTGCAAAAATAAAAGAACCAACCCTTCGTCGAGTTTTGTTTTTCATGCGTACGAGAACTCTTGAGAGTCAGACTGTTTGATAAAATAAGAAATATACAGACTCTTAAAATGTTTGTTTGCACATACAATTGTCCAAGCACATAGAGAGTATACCTATTCGTAATGTTTTTTGCGAATCAACATCAATCTGATAGTGTAGGTATCAAATTTTGTAAGTATAATTTATCGTTGTCAAGTTTTTAAAAAAGTTAGTATATAGTAATCTGCTATTATTATTTTATTATTAATTAATTGTTGAAAAAAAATAAAGCTGCCGAAGTTGATAAAATTTCAATACTTGCAGAAATAAAAAAAAAATAATTATCCACGTGTACCGTACATACGTATCTAATACAAAAATATATTTAAGTCCTTTTAATGATTTTAATTCGGATTAGTTGCATAGATCCTCAAAATTTAAAAAGGTCGTATAAAATAACTTACTTAATAATAAAAACGTCCAAGACACAAAAAATATGCGTTTTTGTGAAACATAGTACTTAATACGGACTTTATTTAGGCAGTAAAATATACTATGAATGGAATGTATGTATATTTAAATATAATCGCTTAATTAATATAAATATAAAATTATTGACATTATGCTGAAATTTAATATTCAAAATAAGTGGAAAAAATTGCTAGAAATTCAAAAATTTAATATATTTCTTTTTAGATCGGACATAACAAAACGATTTATCGGCCTTGCAGAAATATTTTAAGACATTATTGAAGTTCATAATCAATCTGTTTATAAATTTAAATAAAGAAATTAAGAAAAACATAGTACCTAAATATGTCAGGCCCTTTGTGCCAAAATAAATGATAGAAAAATTACTTCAAATTTATATTAAGAACGAAATCTGAAAATAGTAGAACTATTTGTCAGACAGATTAATTTCTGTATTCTCTCTAATGTGCTGTTTTAACCATTTTGTCATTTTTCATTGTGAAACTGTTTTTGACCATTTGTTTTATACACATTATAGCTATAAAATATGGTATCAATTCAAGCATAACTTCGAAAAAACAGTGGAACAATAAATTGTCCTCACAGATTATAACTTCGGAACAAATTGACAATTTTTGCTTGATGGAGCCATCAAAGTTACATATTTTTGTTGTAACTCGTATTTAGTAGATAATAAATTGAATAAAGAATTAACTTTATAACAATTAAAATGTTTGATGATACTAAAGTAAAACTACTTGCATACTTGTCGTTTTATTTAAAATCAATTTTAGCCTTGTTTCCTAACCAATAAAATATTAAAAAAAAAAATAAAAAATTCACTATAGTTTCTTCACACTGTTCGTACATAAATATATGTGGTACAAAAAAAATGAGAAAAGTTTTACTATTTTCTGACAAAAGTGTAACATTCCAATATATTTTTTTACACTTTTTGAAAATGTGTCGCGATTGGATTAATTTTTGTCGGATAAAAAAATGCTGTTGGCATCGTAGCCTAACAAGCGACTATCAAAAATTCTCAAAAATATTCGTTATATACTTACAAACAGTCTAAAAACTGATTGTTTCAGTGAATTTGTTAAATTTTAATCATACTTTATGAATCTACTTTTTATTTCCGGAGCTTGAGGAGTATACCTAATAGTAGGGTCCATTCGACGAACGGTTTTCTCAACGTTTCATGACCAGCAGAGTATTTCCGCCTGTCTGTCTGTCTGTCTGTCTGTCTCTCGTCTGGCGTTTGTATTGATTTTACAGGATAAATAGTGTCCAAAAGTTTCTGAACCGATTATTGTGAAGTTTTATATATATTTTATTGCGTAAATAATTAAAAATTTGACGACTCCACTTCAATATCTCACATAGAAAATGCTACTTAAATTTTATAAAATCACAGTCCTATCATCCAGAGTTTTGGAAAAAAAATGTGTAGGTACAATTTTTATAATTTAACTTAGAAGCTGCATAACCGAATGATTCGAAATCTTGCAAACGTTTTAAGTTATCGTAAGCATGGTAAATTGCAAAATCAAACAAAAAAACTTGATCACGGGTTGTTAAAATTGTGCTCAATAAATCCAATCTCAAATGTGCAAAATATTATGAATCTAATATTTATAGTACACCAATGCATTCATATTTTTTAAAATTGCTTATATACAAGGTGACTCAAACAAATTAATTTATTTTATTGATTCAACCAAGAACAAGCCTTCCCCATTTTCCTTAAAATTTTGGAATATATATAGTACTCTTAGTAATGTTAGTATTAGGATTACTCTGTAGGTATGTACATATCTGTCCAAATTGATAAAGTCATTTCTAAAAAGATGATGATGCCATCACAATATTTTGTTGTAAAAAACTCACTTGAAATATATAATATATATTTTAAGTTCTAGGGCTTATCATAAAAAAATCAGCGAAATAAAATAATAAAAACTTTTTCAGATAGGTACCTACATATATGATTTTTCCATAGTGAGTCATTAGGTTAGGTACATTTTTTGTCGCAGACCTTTCTGTTGAACCAGCCAGTAGATGGAAGTATAGCTGGTTACTTCCCATACACTAATTTTTTTCACTCTTATAAGCATTTGTTTTTATGTTCGTTTAACTAACAGATTCAAACTTTTATGAGACTTTGTATAATATTGTAATAACTTTAGGAGTTGTAAAAAAATACATTAAACATATATATATGGGTGGCTTCATATCTGTGACATTTTTAGGCAAAAATTGTCATATTTGTTCACGAAACACGGGTATAGTGGAAAAAATTAATTTATTTTTTATTCTTTTTGGATACCTACTGATTGATCTATATAGGTATCTATATATATTGTGAATCGCTGTTTTGTACCGAGTGTTTCGCGATGAAATTTATGATTTAACCGACGCCAAAAACCTCACTCTATTATTTAATTAAAACACTTTACTTTTGCTAATTTAGTAAAAATTGGTTACATTTCTTTCCTTGTTATAGAGTATAAAGAGTAAAGAACAACTGAATGCGCATTAAAAATATATTTCGTGTTATGTTTACACTATTGCTGTTTTATTATTTTATTAAAATCTATAAAACTTTGTTTTTATAGAATGACAACTGTTCCAGAAACTGTACTACTGTGTTTTTGTTTTTTGATATATCGAACTTAGTTTCTTACTGGTACGTAGTTTATTTCTTATGTATTACCAGTATTGTGCGAAAAATTTAATAGGTACTTATGACTTGATTTTAAATTTGACATCACTGAAAATTGAGCACTATATAACTTATGGTTTAACTTTCGCTATTAAAATAATCTTTCTCTAGTAAACAAAAAGGTTTAGACGTTGGTTTGCAAAAATTTTACATATAAATATAAGCGAATATTTGGGCAGTCAAAATATTGGAATATTTTTTTTATGTTTATTATAAATCGATGTGTGATTATTTGCTTCTTTTTGAAACAATTTACGTCTTACTATGTAGATGGGCACAAATTTGATTACTTACCTAAACTAAATTATTTATTGCCAAGTATATAATTCAACAACAGCGTAGGAAGCTCTCGTCACTATAATATTGCCAGTAAGTCAAAAGCACCACTGTGGAAATCATGATGGTAACGGAAATACTATTGGTCACTTTTTAAACCACACTGTGAATGGGCATGCAGCATTCGATATTTAAACATTCAATAATGTTCCAAGTTTGCATCAGTCACTTGCGTTCTCTGTAGCTCGGCATTAAAAGGCAATCTGCAGATTAAAAACTAATGTCTGGTTGAACTTTGGCCTGGTAGTTTTGGGAAAAGCGCAAACAGGAGACTGATGGTGGTAACATTAGGTGAGCAGGGCCATTTGCATAATTAGGAGGCCACGGCAGAGGACGAGCAAAAGAGGCTGAGGATGCCACTGGATTGACCAATAAGAATGTATCTGGCTGGAAGCGGCCAATCAGGATGACGCATTTCAAGGATGGACTCGTCCTGAACACTCCCATGCACTCCCCTGGGACCTTTTTCAGAGCGACAGCTGTACTCACGCTTGCTCTGTTCGGTGCTGGATGTTACATCTTCACCTGGTCTGACGTTCTTGACGGCCATATAGATTATACCGTAGTGGATACAGATTACTTGCAAGGCCTTTTACTGCTACAAGAACCATTGTTTCATTCACAGGATTTTTACAAGACAAAACGTGTACGTTCGATATGATTAATTACGTACGTAATTACATTGTAAAATATTCGCAAAAAATAAGTAAGTAAATTTAGCACGAAATATTTGCATTTTTATTACAAGTGCTTTATGCAGTTATTTTACTTGTGCATGAAAATATGGATCTATAGGTAGACGAAACGTGAAATCACATGTATAGGAGAGATTGGGGTTGGTTGTTTCAAATAACTACTAATGACAACATACAAAAGAACCAAAACATATTCTTGTTATAAAAATATAAACGATAGGTAATATTCAAAAATATAAAAAAATGTAACTATTTATGTGAATACGCAGAACTCTCTGCTTTGTTCCTCTAATTGCAGAGAAATTAAAATTTCTAGGATAATATATTAAACAAAATCAGTACAGCATCCACTGCGACGAGAGACGTATACTGTTTTAGACCAATTTATAAATTAGTACTTAATTAATTTAGAAGATTACGGTATGAGTACCATATATTCTTATTTTCTCCTATCTTAAAAACATACAGAACATCATGGAGGTTTCAGGAGTTACATTTTAGAAGTACGAGATATGGCGCTTTTAAAAGATTATAGGTACCTATACTTATTTCGAATTAACAAACTTGAATTCAGAAGACTTATTGTGTCTACTCAATTTCGTAAGTCATTCATGACCCGCCCCTGGTACACTAATGCATTCAGATTTTGAGTCTTCTGTTTGTGAACTTTTGTTCCCAAATGTTAATCCACTTGATTTTTTTTTTGCACAGATATCAGATATTTATTAATATAAATCACCAAAACAGTCAATTGCATGCAACTTTTAATTTAACACAATTTTGTGATGACGTCATGAAGATTTTTGCAAGGACATGTTCTATATCAACATTGGTGCAGTGTAATACTAAACATAATAGTATTGTAGGTATTCAATAAAATTTCTGGGAAAATGAAGGGAGACATTCCTGATTTAAACAATAAAGTAAATTGATTCATTCATACATTTTTTTGAGCTACCTGTATAACCAAATCTAAAAAATTGGTCGAAGGTTATTTCGACAGGACTTCCCTCGCCTCTGATATACAATAATACAAATCCAGCTTTTTCGAAAAATTATAATTTGAAATGATTATGCCAATTTAATTTTTTTTATGAGAATCCTTAGGTATTAGTTAAAATAAAGATATGTATATACGTAACGTTAAAGTAAATGTAAAGAAGCGTGCTGGGCGTACGTTCCAAATGACTTTTCTCTTAACAAAATTTTGTGATGACGAGATCAACATTTTGCAAAAATACGTATAGTATTTTGGACAGGTGCAGTGTAATACTAATGATAACAGTATTGTATTATTCGGCAAAATTTTGAGATGTCATTAATTTTTTAGGAGGGGATAAACGAATAAATTTTGCTTAATGGTTTGCCATGATTACGATAACCTTAAAATATTTACAAGATTTCAGAGCAAACGGTATTGCAGTTTCAAAGTTCTATTGTGAAATATTGTCATTCAGTTTTGAATTTTTTCCAAAAATTTTGGACGGCTAGGGTGAAAATTCGACACGGATTCACACACGACAAATGCAGGAGAGGAGTATCTTATTTTAAAAAATTTTAAAAACCTTTTTATTATAAATTTTAGAAATGACGTCATCCCATTGGTGGTGGGGATGATTATCCAAATTTTAGTTAGTATTTAACCATCTACATGACATTCCTAATATACAAACAAAATATGACAACAATCGGTCCAGTAGTTTCGGAGATTATTTGTCTAATAAAAATTAATACAGACAGACAGACAGACAGACGGAAACGGTAGACCACTTTTTTCGTCTTCTAGAGGTCATGACACAACGAGAAAACGTTAAAGTGGCAATTCGGCCGATGGACTCGATTACTATACTTCCTTAGCTTACGCAATAACAGCCAACCTTCTTTCAAAATCGGGTGGTACTAGAGCTTGATGTAAATGAATTTTGTCATATGATATTTGGCCGCTTTTTTGGAGGATTTTGAATTATTCGTTTCTTCGTATATTTGCCTGGTGGAAATATGAGGATCCACATTAACCCTCCCCAAGACATCTACGGTATGTTCTTCATCTGTTGCCGTTTTTCGTAAAAGGACTGTGCGTTTCTTTTTGAAAGATCCAAATTGTTCTAAATTTTTTGCTAATCTTGCGAAATGCATACAACTTGGTTGTTGTCTCTTCGGAAATCTTTCTCCCTACAATGTTCTGTATTGTCTTCTATTTTGCCTACACTTTCCGTAAATAAGTATCATATATGTATAACTTTTCGGCATTGCTGAATCTTTCGTATTCCATTTTTTGACACTACAATATTTTATTTATTTTAATCTAGAACAAGCCAGAACCCGAAAATAATAGGAAACGTTGCTTGAGAAACGCCATTGTATTTTTGTTTACAACTCACAAGCGTTTTAAAGCTTCTAGATGCATACTGTTATACTGAGTCATATATCATTGAAAAGAAAAAAAAAATGTTGTCTTTTATAGTCCTACAAACTATACTCTTAGATTTAGAAAAACAGTTGATGTCATTTCCGGTGAAATTGAAGCTAATACGATGCCAATAGTCTACTCATTTAATAGATTGTATTACATATATATTCAACATGTCTAAGTTCAAATTTTTATATTTTAAAATCATGGAGATATTTGAGTAGAACAGATACGTTGAGACACCCGGTATATTTGCTGTGCTATGGAAACTTTTTTCATTAGAATTTTTTTTCACATTTTTAACAGCTTGCATTCCGTTCAGTAATATAAATATGTATTAATAGTTTTATTTTTTTATTGTGTTAATAATAAAAAGATCTCACTTTTTACAAACAAAAACAAACTTGTACCTAATATTTCAGCTCAACAGATCGAATTAATCGAATTACACGGAAGTTGTAACAAAAAAAAAGTTCTTTCCTCGTGTTTATAAACTATCTTTTGTTTTAGAACAAAAAAAGTATTTTTTTGTGAATTTGAGACGCTAGGATGTCATATAATGATGTATCAACTTTCTAAGGTTCGACAAATAGGAATTTATGTGAAAGTATTTTCTATTTTAAAGTGTTCAAAAGGTTCTTCAGTTCCTATCCCTCCTCAATGTAAGTCACGAGTAACAGAAACAATCGTTTTAAATGTGAAACTTTATCACACCATTCATAATAAAGGAAAAAATCAATTTGTAAAGTAGTTGGATCTATAATAGCGTAGGTAGATGAAAGAGATTTCGTGCAAATTGCCAAACGTACTTTATTCACCAAACAAGTTCTCGATTCCCCTTTGAAGAGGTTGGGGTATGTGTTTTAGTATATCCTTTTATTCGTGTTTAATCAAAGTTTGTGACTTTGCGTCACGCAATCCAGCACCCGAAGCGCGCATATACCAGATTTGAAAACGTACAGCGATCTTATCAAAATCATGAATCGCGGATCAACGGACACGGATACACAAATACAAGCCAGTACGGTTGCTCTTCCTTTGATTAACGACAACTTGAAACGACGAAGCTCAAAGCTAAAGGGTCAGGGATCCTCAACACCATTCGTCACACCAGCATTAAGTCTCAATGCCAAATGAAATTCAACTCTTTACAAATTTAAATCCAGATAACATCAGTCTAGCGAGGTAAAGAAAGATTTTGTTTGCTTTTATTATTTTGTCTTTGCTGTATGGACAGAATGATTCTAGATTTCATCCTCTAAAATTGCGCCACAGGCTTTATTAAAAATTGCTCATTAGCAAATGAATCTTGAGAATTTCAGAAAATTTTAGTTTTGATAAAAATAACCAGTTGCAATTTTATTTTGTTTACGAGGACGATCCATCAAATTTTATTTAAACTAATCTAAATAATTTTTTCACTTAGTTTATTTATTCAGTTTGCTTATTTATTTTTGTATCCATTTTTTCCATCTTTTCGTTTATGTTCTTGTCTCTTGCGTTCATTTTTTTCGTCCATTTTTTATTTCTTACGTCCACTTTTTCCGTCCCATTTTTTTGGGTCTTGCGACCATTTTTCGTTTATTTCTTTGTTTCTTGTGTTCATCTTTTCCTCCATTTTTTTTTTTTGTTTCTTGCGTTCATCTGCCCGAACGTAACCAGCTTTACTTGTCCTTCCATTGCTGAAATTTGGGCCCTGGTTTCGACCGACATAAATCTTCAGAATTCTTTTCCAACGATTTAGATACGAAAATTAAATTGGGTAAAAACTGAAATTCGGAACTGACAGATGCGACTCCGAAGTTAGAAACTTGTCGCCACACGAAGAAAAGTTGCTACAGTTTATTGGTCCCATTATGGTGAATGGGTTACCAGAAATACTGGAACCGGGAATGGAAATTGTTTTTGAAAGTATAAAAATTATACTTATTCTTTTATTTGAATGTATACTAAATACATTTTTTTATAGATTTCAACACTGAAATAGAGGATGTTGTTCCTGCTGAGGTTTTTGAAGTCCCATAACCAAAAAATTTCTTGGGAACAAAACCATGATCGACCTATGCTTAGGAGAACAAGGAGTATCAGTAACAACATATCCAATGACAAATCGCTGCGCATTTTAATAAAAAGCAACAAAAACATCGC